GGCAGACAGAGGCAAATGGAAAGTACTCCAGGCAGATCAACAATGGCAAAAAATTCAAAATCTTTTTATATTTATAGAACAAGACACAACAATCCCTTTCTGCCCTATTCTGTGCTCTCATGTTAACCTTTTCTTTTTACAAGGACCTGGCACTGCTCAGCAATCTCTACTGAGTTTTGCAAAGATCTTTTTACGTCACCTTCTCTGGAGCTGGTGGTGGCCAAGCTGATACAGACTCTCTGGCATGACAAAGCCTTTGAAGTTAGTGAGAAAGAGAGTAAGTAGAGACGTCTTATCCTAATATCCAGAGAGTTCTTTATTCCTCTCCTTTTATTTCTCCACCTGCAATGTGCCCTGTATGCTGGTGGAGGAGGCAATCTGAAATCTCTTCTGTCACCAAGGAGGTCTATTCTTCTTTCCTTTTCCTTCTGGGTGGACGCACTCTGCTGGCAAAATATTTCTTGGTTCTTCCCTTGATTTCTGAACTAATGACGTCTTCTAAGCAGAATGATTTGAGCCAGTAACCAGTGAAACTTGTACAGGTTTAAGAAAAAGAATATGACACAGCTGTTGCAAGTTGACGTTATTTAACAGGAAAAGAAAATAAAGCATTAGGGGATGGCTGGAATCAGTGATACAGATTCCAGTAAAGCCAAACTAAGTTTTGCAGGGCATGTTTGCCTGCTGGAGGTTTACATCAGGACTGTTAGGCTCTGCTGATTCAACTCCCTTCTGGCTCTGCTTGTACAAATTAGCATATCCTCTTTAATCATCAAATTCAAGCAATGCTTCTTCAAGGCATGAATGCTCAAATAGATTTACTAGGAGGTCCAGCCTGGTCCAGAGATCTGCTACCAGCTGTCATTTTATTAGTGATTCAACTGCATGACTGGACAAATCACATCTTTTCTCTCTCTCTAATTTACTTCCATCAAACAAGCAAACGCTAAAAGGTTACAGTTTGATATCCTGGCCAATTTTTCCAGCACAAACTGCACCACATTTCCCGGCAGAGAAAGTTAATTATGTGGGTGGGAATAAAACCATAGAAAAGTTCTGGGGTTCCTTTACGTGACGAGAAAGGGCTGGATATAATTCTACATTTTGTTTTGCTTTACACCTCTATAATAGCTGTGCAAAATGGAAGACACTTTAAATTTAAACTTTGCTGTAAAAGGAGGTTTGGTATTAGATGGGTTTAACAGGAGTGGAAGTTGTGGGGCATCACGTAGCCATGTGTCTTTGGTACATCCAAGTTATCCATGCCTAAACTCATATTCTCTTCCCTTCTTTTTTTTTTTGCCAGTGAAAACTACTGGTCTGTTTATGTTAATGATGGTTTATATCTCTCTCACTGATGCTCATTTATGTGCCTCTTCTCTGCCTGAGGATTGAGCATCCTGGCAGCCAGGCACTGTAGATACCACTGGTTGTACAGACCCTCTCAGAAGTGTGCTGCATATTACACAGACTAACAAATATACTTGCACCCCAGACATTGCAAATCCTAGTTTTCTAGGGATGAGTAATGGGGAGAAAATCAGGTTGATAATCAGGAAGAAGGCTGACTTCATTTAAAAAAGGTGAGATGGTCACTACAATTTTCTTATATTAATTTCTGCTGTCCTACAGAACCTCCTTCAGCTCTTGAGACAGGCACACTAAAAACAAGCTTGGGCATGTTAACTGGGTCTTGTTAAGGAGGCTGGCTTTGGGACAGCTTTGGTCTCAGATTCTTGTTTTGTTTTGCTTCTAAAACTGGTAATATTTTTCCTTCTGAAAATAAATGACACAATTACTAGGACTGAAAGAAACTATCATTTCCATTTCATCAGAAAGCATCAAAGAGCACTTCTAAACTCCTACCCAAAGAGTAGTAAGAAACGGATTATCTGCCTTGTAGAGATCCAGTACTGGACTGTTTTAAAACAGCCCACAAATGAGACATTCTGGAAAACCAGACTTTTTCTGCCTATTTTTTTTCCTGGGTCCTTGGTGTGCATTTCATCATATTTTCATTTTTCCTTCTCAATCACCAAAGCTAACTTTTTACTCTTAGAAAAGCTACATTTTTGCACTGAGGACAAATAATGTACTCGCTGCCAGAAGTACAGAGTTGAGGCCATTCCTCTCCTCCTCCTTCAGCAGGCTCTGAACCACTCAGCTGGAGTACCACTGGTCACTATCTCACAGCACTCAGCCTGTACATTTATCTTTACAATTTCAATTTCCCAGGAAAAAAGTTATCTTTGAAAAGCTGGAGTTAAACTCACATGCCTCTTCTTTTGTTGTGGTACTTATACATATATATTGATGGCTTCCAATCATAGCCACAGCTGATCACATATATGTCCATGACTAACATGGAAAAAATCCACCAATAATTTCTCAAAAAAAAAAAAAAAAAAAAAAAGGCATTTAATCTTAGAAAACTCTGATTTGAGGAATACCAGGTTGAAGCTCCCCATTGTGACCTCCACGCACATGGCATGACAAACTTCAGGCAAGCTGAATCAGCACATGATTTTCAGAACGCAGGGAACAGTTGTACTTTACAACAACTGAGCAACTCTTGGTTAAAACATCACTCGAGATTTACTTCTAAAGATCCCATTGACCAAGAAGCCCAGCTGCAGAAAACCCAGATCTCTCAAGAGGCAACCCTGGGCAGAATGTGTCAGCAGGATTTTGGCAGCCTAGATGCTTCCCAGGTACTACCAAATGCCTGCCATTCCCACTTCTCCTCTAGCACACCTTCTTTTACCCACTGCAGGCCAGCCTGGCAGCTTGGAGAACAGACTTGGGAACATTTCTGCATTTCCTTCCCTGGACCTTTGCAAGAGCTCTTTCTCCAGGAGAGCAAGGCAGGACTGAAACCAAATTCCTTCTGTCAGTCCCTTTCAATACCTTCTCTTCCAGTGACCACAATCAATGTCCACTGCAGGACAACACTCAAAGTAATTTCATTGTGTTGTTCCTGAATGTCTTTGGATACAGTGGTTGTAATTTCTTGATACCTGGGATAAGGTTGCTGGATAACAAAAGACTATTTCAAAATCCAAAGAGGAAAAAGTAGCACTCTTGACTTGCCTTGTTAATGGGAGATTCATTGGAGGCATTTTCATTTTAATTTGTGATCTCTCCCCACTAGAGGGTACTCTGCGATTCTGAAAGAAAGCACTCTGGCCGAGGAGAACTTTTGCAAATTGGAGGGACATTTCTAACACACCTCGTGTAATGATACAAAGATCTGGAGGGGAAGCTTTCTAGCTCAAACCCTTAAGAACATAACTTTTTTCAAAATACTGATCTTGGTATAGTTCCATGGATCTTGCTGGATCCACAGGACAGACCCTCCTGACTGATGACTTGTAAAACATCATCAAAAGGCATCCTGGGACACATCTACTCACAAGCTTGTCTGGCTTGATCCTTGCTGGTATTTGCATACTCACCCACACTTGCTCCAGGTGCTGCACCAGGGACACAGGCTCTGACCCTGGTCCATGCCGGTGTCAGGCACTTGGTTTCTCTCATTCAGGTCTCCTTAGTTGCTGGCACCCAGGCACACACACCCACCCAGCGGCCAGTACCAGGTCCCCATACACACATGAACACCAGCTGGGGAGTCCCTCACCCAGGAAAAGAGTTAGAAATGGAGTTTAATGAGAAGACAGGACAGACCATGATGACCAGGTGCTGGATATGCCCAGACAAGTGTGCTGACCAGCCTCCTGCATACATGCAACCAGATCCTTTTATCCCTTTATCCCTCCATTTCCCCAGGCTTTTTCATCCCCAAATCCCCTTGATTCCTCCCTTTCTCACCTTTAGTTCTTCCCCTAATCACGTTATAAGTCCTATGCAATCCCTAAATGCTCTTCCTTTGCATCCCATCATGTGTCCATGTCCCTTTAGGCAGTGACCCCTGCTCAGTTCAAAAGGTGCTCCACTGATGACTCATCTGGATGGGTTTCACACCCAGACTCTGGGGCTGAGGATCTCCTGGGACATCCCTGGGATGGGTTTGGGCAAGGTGCCCCTTCCTCTGAGTCCTCAGTTTGGGCTCCTCACCTGCCCTTGGGCCACTGTGCTCCTCTGGGCTTGTGGAGGTGGGCCTGTAGTGGGCTAATGTCTCTCCTTCCTGTGGTGGGCTGGAGATTGAGTTGTCATTTGGACTCCTCTATCCTCCTTCATGGGCATGCAGCTGAGCTCCTTGACGCATAACCACCCAACAGGTCCCCTCTCAAACACACTGTGGATGCTGCTGTTCAGGTTCTCTTCTTCTGAAGACAAAGACCTGGGATTTTTTTTCTCTTTCAGGTTTCTCTTCAGACCTGGTAGCCTTTTGTGAGGTGAGAAGCCTGGTGTCTGCTCCTGCAAAAAAGACCCAGAACTGTGGTGTGGTAACCACAACAAAGCTCTACATTATGTGGCAGAGAGAAGTGAGGAGAAGACAAGAGGACTCCCATTCACAGCACAGGACTAGCAAGAGCTTGCAAGGAAAACAGGGAAACTGGGAGGTCAGAGGAAAGTGGCTAGTGGGGGTGACTCCCAGCTGTGGTCACTTCCTGGTTTTGCCTGTGGATGTCACCAGCCCTCTAGAGCACCTTCATGCCTGCATGACCATCAGGGCAGGGCAGACTCTTCTGAGGAAACTTCTGCATGAGGCTGCTGGTTACAGCACCTGAGCTCTGCAGCGCTTTGTCGCCTTCATCCAGAAGGGACATCCCATCTGCCCTCATGGGCATTTCCAGTACCTTTTCCATGACTTTCCACCTAACTGTTGACTAACTTTTCTCCCTCACACTCCAGGCTAGAGGTTAAATGGGGCACATATGGTGTCACCTACCCGGTGTGGCTGTCCCATGCAGCAAAGACATGGGAGCAGGAGCAGACCCCAGCTCTCGATGGAAGGGTTTTGTCACATTCCTGGTAAGTGTTGCCAGGGCTTTTGGAGGATGTCAATAATTACTGGAAGCCTTGAGCATTTGCATTACCTCGTTTTGATAAACGACATGCTGGTGCTTTGGTGTGTCTGGGTTCACGGCTTTCTCGCTTAGGTCTTGGTGTGAGCCTTTCTTCTTTGCAGGTGTTCTGGGTGGACTATGTCTTTTTAGTCTGAAAAAAACCCAAAAATATTAACTAGTCACATAATGCTTAAAAACCTCCTGGTATTTAGAATGAATATTGTTATTTTAAAGATGCTGTTACCATCTGGATAAGTTTCCAGGGCAGGTATATAAAAAAACCAGCAGGAAACAGAATGGCAAATTGCAAGGTGAACACAGGCAAGCCATGTCAGTTGCAAGAAAATGGAAATTATTCTTACTTTTTCCTTTTTCTGTTGACCCAGAGTATCAAGATTGTTAGGAACACCACAGCTATTAAGATTGCCATGATGATTACGCTCTTCTGAGCACCTATGAAAAGAAACCGGTAAGTGCACATAGAACACAGAGGCATGTCAACATTTTTTTGGGTCCTCTTCCAGAAGTTGGGCTTGAAGTGAAACATTCACCAGTTTGTACTCATTTGTTCTTTGAAGAAGAGCAAGGAACTGTAATGATGTAACACTGTGGTAGGTGAGGAGTTATTTTATTTTTTAAATAAACACCAATAATGTCTCACATTTCTCTGGTATTGGGGGAACCAAAACCCAGCATTTTTACACCTGATCTGTTTGTACTTCTCCTTCTGTATGAAGAAGTTTTATTACAAGGGAAATGTCCCATCCCTCCTGAGACATACCCTCCTGCAAGATCTTCCATGTGAAATGTTGCTCCCAGCATTTGACAGCCAGGGCCTGCTCTGCTGCTACTTCCAAGCTATGGATGCTGCTGGAGAGGTCTTTGCATCTGCTCTAAATCAGTGATTATGCAGAAATATAAACATATGGAGACATATATACATATGTACACACAAATCTACATATTTCATAGAATCATAAAATGGTTTGGGTTGGAAGGGACCTTAAAGCTCATCCAGTTCCAACCCCCCTGCCATCAGCAGGGACACCTTCCACTAGACCAGGTTGCTCAAAGCCTCATCCAGCCTGGCCTTGAACACTTCCAGGGATGGGACATCCACAGCTTCTCTGGGCAACCTGGGCCAGTGTCTGACCACCCTCACAGTGAATAATTTTTTTCCCAATATCCAATCTAAATCTCCCCTCTTTCAGTTTAAAGCCATTACCCCTCAATTCTATCACTAACTGTCCTTATAAAAAGTCCCTCCCCAGCTTTCTTGTAGCCCCTTCAGGTACTGAAAGGCCACTAGAAGGTCTCCCCTAAGCCTTCTCTTAGGGGGAGGGGGAGAGAGATGCACATAACCACCACACAGACACAAAGGCACCACGAGGAGGAGGAAGAGTCTTCTGGATGGTTTCAAATAATGAAATTTTCATCTAGCATGAGGCCTGAACTCACAGAAAAATATCTGGTGAGATTACATAAGTACAAGCTGCACTCTCACAATTGCACATCCTTTCCTAAGTGCTCCCCACGACATGCTGCACCCCCCCATAGAAACACAGCCTACCTTCCCTTCCTTTTTCCAGGTAAACTGCCTTCACCTTCCTTCCCTGTGGGTGGTCAAGGAGGCAGGCCAAGGCATGGAGGTGGTTGGCAGGGAAGGTCAGTCTGTTTGCCACCGTTACTGTTCCGTTTGCGTTTTGGATGTGGTGTATTTCAGGGGACCCATCCAGGTCTCTGTCCTCCAGCCAGGTGATTTTGGGGGCTGGCTTTCCTGTTGCTGAGCAAACTGCGGTGAGGAGACCCTCAGTGGGTGGGTGGGAATCATATTCCACTGTTAGCTCAGAAATTGCTGAGAGGAAAAAGAGAAGGCACTTTTTACACTCTATGGCAAGTTTACAGTCAAAGTTGAACAGGTCACCTCTCTCTACCTGGGTTCTTATCCAAAAGCATCTCTTGGCTTATTTACCTTCACCTCCTCTGAGGAAAGGTGTGGCAATTCTGGAGACTATCCACCAAGGAGATGCTGCTGCACAGAAAGTCTCCACGCAGTGGAGGGGATAATGCCCAACTCCTGACTACATCAGACCTATGCTGAGTGCTGGAAAGTGAGAAGGTGTTAGTAGAAAACTTACTTTGGATGTTGAGGCATATATCTTTGCTGAAAGAGCCATAAGGGAACACATTGAAAATGCATTTGTAATAGGACTCATCCTCGAATGTGAGATTTTGGAGTGTGATAGCCGAGGCCTTCAGGGTTGCTCTAGTGAAGTGCACTTTCTTCTCAAACAACCCTATCATCCTCAGCCCATGGTTTGGGCTGTAGGTGGCTATGTTCTGGAAGGAAGACCCATTTTTCTTCTGCCAGGTGACTTGTAAAACATCCATTGAGAGCGAGAAGTTGCAATAGAGATTTGCCTCTCCACCAAGGGCTGCTGCAATGATGCTATCAGATTTCACAGCTTCCTTCAAACCTAGGAACCAAGCAAATCCCAAGATCAGAGCAAGAGGAAAAGCAATTAACTTGGGGAAGGCTATAGCGTGTTGAAACATCCAGTCACAATGTTCCCATCTTGCAGAGCACTGAAGCAAGGAACTCCATGATGAGTGGCACATTGGGATACCTCAGACACCTTGGTCTCATGGGGAGCCACCACATCATTAGCCTCTGCCGTACATTTCCCGTGGTGAGGAGAAAAGCAGCACGGGAACAGAAGGGCATGCAGGCTTCTTAGCAAGCACAGCAAACTCGAGCCCTGAGCTCATCAGCCTGCTTCTTCCCAGTGCCTTAGCCTTATCTCGCCTTTGTCCCCAGGAGCTCAGAGGTGTCCTCTACAGACCTGACACCCAGCAAAAGTGGCTGTCACTCCCAGGAGCATCCCCGCTCCCCTATCGCTGGTCAAGGACCTCCGACAGCTGGGATGCAGTGCCAACAGCTGCAGAGGAATATCCATCCCCTCCCAACAGAAGTGTGCACCACTCAGACACGTGCATTGGAAATGCAAACCTGCTCCATCCCTTCTGCTGAGGAGCTGAGGAACACTCACAAAGAAAGGGAATATACAGGCTGAACATACAGCTTGAGTGCAAAGACAAACTACCCTGTGACCTCTGACCTGTGTATCCCGACTTTGTTGCTGACCAGCCCTCAGATTAGCAGCTACTGTTCCAGTTACTGATTTGTATTTTTCAGTCAGGATGGCATCTGGACCTCTCTGCTTGCTAAAAAAGGCTGGTGCTGCTCCAGAGTTGAGCCCATGCAAGGAAAGGAGACTCCACTCACCTATTGCTGGCTCCTCCAGCTGGCAGGTTCCACAGAGCAGCAGCGGACAGATCCCAGCCCAGCAAAGCAGGGGGAAAAGCATCGTGGGACAGAGCAATCACCCAGGAGAGCTCACCCCCTTTCCCTGCACTCCTCAGAGAGCAGCTGGCACGGTCTGGTGGACGGTTAGAGATTTTGCGCCTTATTTCAAAACGCTCTTTGAAGGCCAATTAGCAGAGCTGTGGGGCTGGGAGGGGCTGGAAAATCAGGAACTGTCCTCTTGGTTACTACCAGGAACTTGGTCAATCATTAATCCCAGCAAACAGGGTGTAAATGTGGAATCTTCCTGATGAGCATGGATGGTGGCTGGTGGAGAGGGGAGAAATGAGGGGTCACAGGCCCTGGCAGACCTGCTCCCTTCCTCTTTGGCAGGAAGGGGCTGCCTCTGCATCACCACCTCTGCAGCTTGCTGAGCACCACACTGAACACTGATCCTGAGATCCTTGGGGAGGTCACTTGCCTCCCCAGACCTGACACAGGGGACTCACAAGCAAGAACAGGAGATGCTTTTCCACTAAGAGGGTGGCATAGGAACACCTGCAGATGCCACTGCTTCACCCCAACCCACAAGCACACCAAAACCACAAGTTAGATCATGAAAGGGACCTCTGCAGAAGGCACATTTGGCTGAAGTCTCCCCTCCCTGAGTACATTTGCATCCAACATAATTCCAGAAAGGGAAAGCTAGGAGTGCAACAGTGCTCCTGTGCTCAGGGGTGAGGACTTGTGCCCAAGGGTTTCGCTGTAAAGCCACACAGCACAGCTCCTGACCACATGGTAATCCAGTGGTGAGATTAAGCACCATGTGAAGTTTCTGTTGTATTTACAGAAGGATACCTGCCATACTCTACACAGTCTTTCTGTATGAAAGGGAGAAAGCTGTTTTACAGGAAAATACAGGAAGAAATACCATACACGTTCTGTCTGTGCTCAACTCTTATTTATCACAGGATCACTGAATTTCCTCAATTGGAAAAGACCTTTAAGATCATCGAGTCCAATCATTAACCTCACACTGACAAGTTCTCAACTAAACTACCTCCCTCAGTACCATGTCTATATGACTCTTAAATACCTCCAGGGATGGGGACTCCACCACTGCCCTGGGCAACCCCTTCCAATGCCTGAGAGCCCTTTCAGCAAAGAGATTCTTCCTCAGATCCATTCTCAGCTGCCTTTGGCACAACTTGAGGCCATTTCCTCTTGTCCTGTAACTTGTTCCTTGGCTGAAAGGAACCCCCACCTCTCTCTACCCCCCTTTCAGGTAGTTGTATAGAGTGAGAAGGTCTCCCCTCAGCCTCCTCTTTTCCAGGCTAAACAACCTCAGTTCCCTCAGCCGCTCCTTATAACACCTGTGCTCTAGACACTTCCCCAGCTCTGTTGCCCTTCTCTGGACACACTCCAGCACCTCCATGTCCTTCTTGTAAGTGAGGGGCCCAAAACTGAACACAGTACTCAAAGTGCGGCCCCACCAGTGCCCAGTACAGGGGGAAGAGAACTTCCCTGGTCCTTCTGGACACATTATTACTGATCCAGGCCAGGATGCCATTGGCCTTCTTGGCCACCTGGGCACTCTGCTGACTCATGTTCAGCCGGCTGTCAACCAGCACCCCCAGGTCCCTCTCTGCTGAGCAGCTCTCAAGCCGCTTACGAATTTGACTCTTCCCTCCATCAGCGCAGGCAGCATAATGTTTTAGATTCCTTGCAGGTTTCCAAGGATTTACATTCCACGCTCCCCCAGCCTTGTAGATTAATTCATAAAAAGGTGAGATGGACTCTGGAACATCCCTCCTGGTACCTCTGTTTGGGTAAGGGGCTCCATCCAGCCTCTCACTGGGGCTCACAGCACCAGCTTGCACTGCAGGCAAAGAGCAGGGAAGTGGAAACAGTGTGCACCACCACATCAGAGCCTTTCCAGAGGGTCCCTCAGGTATTTTTAAGCAACAACCTTTACCCTCTGAATCTCAGTGCTTTGTTTTTCAGCCTGGATAAGGATCCTACCAGCCAGCTGCATGCTGTGGGGCAAAACAAGCCCCCACCTGCTCATGTACCAAATAACAACATACAAAAATGGCACTTGCACTTCTAAAAGGCCCTGGTAACAGGTCAGATGATTGAAACAGAATCTCT